TCCTCCTCCTCCTCCTCCTCCTCCTCCTCCTCCTCCTCCTCCTCCTCCTCTATTCCTTCTCCTTTTAAGCAAACTTTTCCCTGTCGCACCCGAGGCCAGAATTTACGGCGGGCTGGGCGTTTCGCCTGAGACTTCCTCACCAGTTATGTCCCTGAGGCTTGAACATTGGCAACACCTTCACAGACGGATGGAAGGTGGTGTCCAACATGTGGCTCTCGCCTTGGCGCCGCGCACATTCGTTAACTTGCGAGAGCTTCACGGATTCAGGACGACCCGTTTTCAAAATGTGGCTCGCGCCTTGGCGCCGCGCGCTTTCGTTTCAAACCCTGCAAAGAGTTTCACGGACTGAGGGCCACCCGTTTTCAACATGTGGCTCTCGCCTTAGCGCCGCGTGCATTCGTTTGAAACGTTCGTAAGAGTTGCTATGAGTGAGGGCAGTTTCTTGTTCAAAATGGTGCTCTCGCCTTATCGCAACGCACATTCGTTTGAAATATTTCGAGATTTCCACGGGTCCCCATGATCAACGTACCAGAAATGGTGTTTGGACAGATTCAGGGTTCTGAGGGTGCAGCAATTACGTTGCCTCGCAGCGTTGAAGTCCCAAGATTGGCGTTCTGGCACGGTTCAAGACCGTCAAGACGCAACAGTTAGGTTGATCCGTGGCGTTGGAATCCCGAGAACACTGTTTTGGCACGCCTCTGGGTCTTCAAACGGTTGTCTTCCAACGAGGCAGTTCCCTCAGTGGAAATGAACCCTTGTAGGGGCCTGCGAAGAGGGAGCTTGGAGGGAGGGTGTATTCCAACATCGTTGATGATTATTGGGTCTACACTGGTCCTCCTCCTCCTCCGATTCCTCCTCCTCCTTCTCCTCCTCCTCCTCCTCCTCCTCTTCCCTCCCCCCTCCTCCTCCTCCTCCTCCTCCTCCTCCTCCTCCACCTCCTTCGCCTCCTCCTCCTCCTCGGCCTTCTCCTCCTCCTTCTCCACCTCCTCCTCCTCCTCCTCCTCCTCCTCCTCCTCCTCATCCTCCTTTGGAAGTCTCAAAGGTGGATGCGATTTGCGAAGTTTGTGTAGGCTTCCCAAATGGGGTTTGAATAGACGGGCTCGGAGGATCGCGCCGCATCGCCGATGCATCGGCACCACTGGCGTGGAGAAACTCACATCGAGCCGCTTCGCCGATTCATCGTCGATGCGGCGCGATCCTTCGACTCCATCTGCTCGGCCGCCATGTGGGAGTCCTAGAATGCCCCCCCCCCCCCAGAAAAAAAACACGGCACTCCCTCCCCGGCCCACGAAAGCACCAGAACTCCGTTCAGCTGGCGCCCTGGTGGAGCTCCGTTCAGCTGGCGCCCTGGTGGAGGCACCATTCCCCCCGCCCCCAACAGCGGCGCACGCCGTACGGCGGCCACTCCCGCTGCTGCTCATTCTGCTCGGGCTGCAGATGCTCCCTTTCGCGGCTGCCGCCGCCTACGCAGCGGCAGGCTCGTGCTGGGGACTACCTCGCTGCGCCCTGGTGTCTGACAGCGCCTGGACCGCTGAGCCTGGAACGATCGCGGCTTTCCCATAGCAAGGCATGTGTCGATCCCTATCCCAAGCTCGTGTCTCCCCCTGGCGCACACCTGCACAAGCGGCGTCGTCTTCCCAGAGTGCCGGTTGGGTCACCCTCCAGCCTGCATGGCTCTCGCGCCCGTGCTGGCGCCAAGCGGGGACGCTGATGCGCTGTGGACGCGGCGACGCGCGATGCGAACGCGCTGCTCAAGCAGCGGCCAGCAGTGCACCTCGGACGGACTTCAGACGTTCGCTGACGTATCCACTCTCGCCACGGACGCCCATCAGGCTCCAGACATTCGCCGACGTACCAATGCATGGATAACTTCGCGACGCGGATTAGACAGGAAGTGTATCAGCCAGCGCAGACTCCAAATAGATCAACGACTGAGGCGAAGTGGATGGTGGTGGACAGAAGCAGACTGGACTGGACTCGAGCAGGCAAAACTGGACTGGCCTACAAAGGCAAACATGAGGTGTGGTGTAACACCGGACCCACTCTCGACGCCATCTAGCTAGGACCCCTAGAGGCAAGCCTAGTTGGACAAAACGACTCTGCATCGCGCCACCTAGCTCTGTCGCTGCGGGCGAGGCGTTCCGTTGACAGCCTCGTCACGAGCCCCAAGTCGCAGTGCTGCCCCGACAGCGACCTCAATGACGGCGAGCTAACCAAGCCCGCGATCGCGGCGGTCTCATCAACGCGCACCCCTGTCCCTGTTACTCTCGCCTAAGGGGACGACCATCGAGGGGACTTTGGCGCAGTCGCCAGCTGCGCCGCTGGCCCCTGCCGCGATTTCCGATAAACCCGCCACGACAGGCAGGACCCAGTTTGCGCATGCCGCACCAACGATCAGCGTGTCCCCGCCCAGAGCAGCCGCATTGGACAAGTACGCCATGACAAGGAAGAATGGCTGCAAGACCTGACTGATGTCTGCCGAGCACGTCGACGGAATGTCGCGCTCCTCTCTCGCATCCTGGGCAACCTGAGAGCAAGTATGAATGGATGCCCTGATGCCAAGCACTGCATGCCTGATGGAAGCAGCGGCTTCAGCCGCGTTGATGACACACATCGCCATTGCGTTGGACTTGCGGTCTTCGAGGATCAGCTCCTTCTCCTCTGTGGCCCGGGCTCGCAGGTCCTGTTAATTGTAGCGAGCGCGCAGACCAGCGTGCCAATGCCGTAATTGATGTCCGCTATATCGCTTGCACACATGGCCTTGACATTGACTGGGACAGGGCAAATTGAGGCGACGCCCGAGAGGTAGGCAACTACAGCCGAAAAGGCGGCGGAGATGCCGAGCACATCCCCTGCGCATGCCGCTTTGTTTTGATCCACGGGCTTGCATGCGTGCACCGCGCTCTCGATGGTCATAGCAGCCGCGGCAAGAAACGCATTGATCACACAGTCTCCTATCTCCCATTTCCGCTTATCCTTTGCACCCTTGTCTTTGTTGAGCAGGGACCGACCGTCCCGGCACTCCTATAGGCCTACCACGAAATGTTCTTAGAACCAAACAGCGTTCTAAGAACAACAGCAATGTTCTCATAACATAAACCCTATGCGTTAAAACACGACAGTCTCAGCCAGAAATGTTCTAAGAACATTTCGTGCAAACCACCCACGGTTCTTAGAACATTGTTTGGCGGGCCTATAGGCGAGCCAGAACGCTTCGCCACTGCTTGATTTTGTTCGCCAACAGCGGCGCCATCATCTTCTTCGACCTGATGATGGTCTCGTCGAGGGCCGACCGTGACATGGGAAGCAGTGAGGGGAGGCTGTGCCTCGCCGGCGCGGCCGGCGCAACGGCCAGCACTTTCACGCCGCCAGCTCAGAGCCGCTTGCCGCCGCGCGCGCTCCTAGACTGACAGCAGCGGCCCCGAGCCCGACAGCTGCGCTCGCACACCTGGTTGAAGGGGCCCTGGGACACACACACACACACACACACACACACACACACACACACGCGAATAAATACACACAAATAAAACGATTCCCCATATTTTCACGTGTTTTCTGTATTTTTGCCTTCCCCCCCCCACTTCCCATATTTCCTCATACTTTCTGGGGGATCGACGATTCATTGTGTCTGTGTGCTTTTCCCCCTCCTGACTGGTGCCCCCCGGCCGAGCGAGCACCAAGGCAGCCGCCGCCCCGGCTGCCAGCGACGAGGAGCGCGCCGGCCACCGCCGCGGAGGCGCGGCCAGCGCAGAGAGGTGTCCGTGCACTCCGCGGGCAAGGGGCCGTCGTCGGGGTGCTGCGCAGGGGCAGCGCTCCGCCGAGGGCAGGCACAGCTGCGGGATCGGCTCGGCAGGCTCTCGGGTCGGGCGAAAGGGGGGGATAGCAAAGGGGGGGTTTGAGAATCAGCTCACGTAGCTGATTTTCCCGGCGCCTCCCGGCGCCGGAGGCGGCCATGTATCGAGGAATGGGCACCTCGGTGAGGCCGAAACCAGCTGCATGCAGCAAACTTCGTAACCCCCCCTTTCCCAATCCCCCCCTTTCGCCCGGCCCGAGACTCTGCGGTGCCCCGTGCGAGCCCTGGCGCACAGTGTGGCCGCTCTGGTGAAGAGGGCTGCGCAAAAAAAAGGGAAGCAACTCCAGGCACGCTCGCTGGGGCCAAAATGGCTACGGAGCCCCTGTCCCAGGCTTGGGAAGCTTTCGACTGGACTAGAAACTTTGGGGCACGACCCTGGGATATACGATGGGGAGGCGTCCATCCTTGAGAGAGGGGTGCGTTCGAATAGCCCCCTTTGGGTGAAATGTTCCCTTTGCTTATTTATGAGCGGCCGAACTTTTCGGGCAGAACTCTGGGATTGCGGGAGAAAAACCGCTTGCGAGTGGACTGTTCAACGGCGGCCGACTATGCCCACTGGCGGGATTCAGCCTTAAACGCCCGCGACACGAACCTGCCGCACCTGCTGCTGCTGCTCGGCGATAATCGACCTCTAGCCAAACAAAACATGACTGCCCATGTTTGACATACATTGACGGCTGTCTGTCGCTGTACGGTTTATTATGCGCCACTTCTGCACTACAGATCGGGGGGGAGCTGGGAAGAGGCATGCCACTCCTCGACAAAAACCTTGCTCCGACTTCTGGCCGCCGCGATCTCTACGGTAACCTCCCAAACAGACCCAGAGGTGTGGTTCGCGGTCGGATATCACGCCACGAGCCATCTCCATCGCCAGGACGGCAGAGATAGATCACACAAGGCGGAGAGCAATCAGACACGGCGCGGGGCAAGGATGTTTCGACCGAAGCAGCATCATCCGTTCTCATCTGCGCGCAGATGCGCTGAAAGCGCCTACGCCTGACAAGCTCCAGCAGCCGCTATCTGCTGCGCTTGTGAAGCAACGGTCTTCGCTCATCGTTGGTGACCTTCTCATCGTGGGCACCCTCCTCGGCGCTATGACTTCCCAAAAGCGAAGCCGAATACAAAGAACATGAACGACATAATCAGAATGCTGTCTGATCCTCTATGTACTCTGCATTCAACCAGAAATTCATGACGAGTGTCATCACCAACTCTGCCGTCAACGCATTGGTTTTCACATTTGCGTGTTGACACAACTTGCGCCATCCACAGTCCTCCTTCCCTCGGCGCCCGCGGGTACGACAGACGAGTTGCCATCAAGTTACGCTGAGGCCAACACTCCGACGACAGATCGAAATGAAACTGGGACCATAACAGGAAACCTGAATCAAGCATCTTAGTAGGCCCGAAAAGTCCCAGACATGACTAAGACCTCGAGTTCAAACCAAGACATCTCATAAGACGGCACGTATCCTGACATTGACGTTCACACCAAGCCAATTTGCAATGATGGACCGAACGAGGTTGAAACACATGTGTATATATATACGGACATAATGAAGCAACATGCTGTATGTCAAGACTTCTTGCACCCCAGCACCACGAGGACGAGAACTGACAGGCGAAGCACTATGCGGAGCATTTGCCTGTGCTGCCAGCGTGGACCCCAGACAGTGGGCTGTTGCACGCAACCCGTAGGATGCAGTATACGTTGTGCCACATACGTGGTGCAAGCAAGCTGGCACAGCATTTGCGACGCTATACGCGTGCTCGCGGGCAAGAATTGCCGATGTCGGCGCTGTTCGCACAAGCGGTAGCGGAGAGCACACGGGTTTTGAGCCCCTGCGGGCCCCGGATCTGGCCGAAATCGGCGCGTTCCCCAAACCCCGACCACGGCATCCCAAATTTGATTCAGGCCGGCCGAAATTCTGGCCCGCGCACGCATGTTTACTTCTTTGCGTGTATCAATATATCGATACACAACACACACATCTATATATATACACACATATGATACAACCCATGGGGTGCAAACTATGTGGTGCAATATGTGGTCAAAGCTGGGTGGTGAAAACTGTGCAATGTAGTCTATGTGGCGCAAACAAATATACCTGCCCTGCGTGTGACCACCTCCAATGCTCGAACAGATATCGCACTTACCCACGCGCAACTTCTTGGCGAAACTCCCTCGATCCGCGGGTGCACTCGCCCAATGGAGCTTGCTCGCGAATATAAAATGGTGCAGTGACGCGCGGACCCTGCTACTGCAGATCCATGATTCGGGCGGGCGAGTGATGATGATGACGACATCGGAGACGGCGGCGATGACGATGACGACGATCGTAATGATGCTGATGAGGATAAGGGTAAGGATAAGGCTGGGGATGACGATGAGGATTATGATGATGACGATGATGGTGATGGTGATGATGATGATGATGCTGATGCTGATGATGATGATGATGATGATGATGATGATGATGATGATGACAAGAGCGACGACATGGATGATGACCACGATGACGACGGCGGTGATGTTGGCTACGACGATGGTGGTGATGAGGATGACGATTGTGATGTCTTTTTGGCTTTTCCCCAGTGGGCCTTATGCAATCAGCGCAGGCCGAAGGAAAGCCAGCACCTGCGGCAGCCCGAAACAGCTTCCAACTTGGCAGAAAACAGCAGCCTCGACGAGAGGCCCTCCCGATTGACTCCAAGATAGCCCTGCAGCCGCTCGAAGAGCCCTGGAACGAGAAACGTCATGAACGATGCCCTTCGTGTGTGTTGGCTGTGGTCGCCAAAGCTGTTGCTCCCCCGCTCGCGCGACAGCACAGAAGTAGTTGCCAATGGCATCCCTCAGTTGGCGTCGCTCTTGACAGCATCGGACCCACATTCGTGCACCTAATGTTACATTGGCAACTGGCCAGTCCTGTTGAGGACGCCTCTGCACGCCAACCCACTGCCGAAGCGCTGGAATACGTCGATTTGGCAAGTTCCAGTGGGGGCATTGGACAAATACGGAATTCCAAAGTGTCTGAAGACTCCTGGGCACACTCCTTAACAGCGCCCCCATCGCAGAAGATATCAATCGAAGTCTCTCCAGAGCTCGACGTCGCCGTGGTTGCCGTGCCAGAGGTGCACGACGAGGGTCCTAATGCGGACTGCCTCATGCATCAGCATGGACGTTGTCGGCTTCTGAGATCGAGGATGTGTTGCGCGATACGCTACGATAGGGCTGCGTTTCCAGGCGCACGACAAGGGCTTGAACACGGGCGCGCCCTCTTCGCGCGCCTCATAAACAAGGTCCAGCCAGCGCAGCAGCTCAAGAGTAGTTGACAGTGGCAACCCTCGATGCGCGTCGCTCTTCACAGCGGCGGCTGGCCCCAGTGGGGACCTCTGGTGCTGCCGTGGCCAAGGGCCGTCCTGGTGTGGACGCCTCTGCACGCCGCTCCGCTGCCGAAACGCTGGAACCCGTCAGCTGGCGTGCCTGGACATGCCAAACTAGAATTCGGTCGGGCATGTCCCACAGTACAGGCGGATTTTGGAAGACAGATCACAAAGAGTCAAACAGATTCCCCGAATAGTCAACAGTGGTCAAAACATCGTCCCCTGACTAGTTTGACTATATTTGAACACTCCTCCTGTAGGGGGGCACGCCCGAGTTAAAACTAGAAGCACGGCCTAGGATACCCTCCACATGGCCCTGGGAGGCGCGTGGAATCTCCCAAGGGGCTCGGACAGACCTGGAACAATTTTTAGACGGCTCCGGGTACATCCGAGACGGGCCCCATAATAGCCCTGGGAGGGCCCAGGGCCAAAGACCTGGGACAGCCCCAATACGATCCACGACCGACTGGCCTGAGACCCCCTCCAAGGCAGCAGCGAAAGACGGATGCGAAGTGCGAAGAGGCACCAGAACCTCCACCCAGACAGCGCCCAAACCGACCAGGACCCCAAGACGGCCTCTTGACCCCACCATGGCCGCAGCGTGCCATGTGCCCCAAGCAGCCCCCCAGCAGGCTCCCTGGAGGACGCATGGACTGCAAGGCGCTGGCGCTCCTGGCCCCTGCTAGGTGCGGGCAATGTCTATATCCACATCCAGTGCGTCTTGAAGTTTCGGATTCTCTTCCCAAGAAACATGAGGCCCACTGGATATGGATTAAAATCTGCCTCCAAAAGGCTAGATGTTTATCCATATCCGGTGCGCCTCGGCCTTGCGGCGCCCCTTCCAAGAAAGTCCAAGACGCACTGGATATGGATATAAATATTGCCCGCACCAGGAGCTCCAGGGCGCACCCAGAGAGACCAGCAGCAACGCCACGCATGCGGGCCCGTCTTGTCGCGTTTCACGAGCGGCGGGCGAACGCATCCGCATCCACACCCTGGCGGCCTGGACCCGGGGGGCGCGCTCCCGTGGAGAGAGGGTCGCACGGATACAGTCGGGGCGTTGACCTAAGGAACCCTAAATAAGGAACGAGGCCCTTATTTCCCATAAGTTGAACTCCGATGTCATATCGAAAACCTAAGGAAAACCTAAGGCAAGCTGACAAGCAATCAAGGAACACGGAGCCCCTCCCCAATGAAAAGGGTTCCTTCTTCAGCGCCCCGACTGTACGCTCCGTGCGGGGCACGCTCGAAAAAACGCCCCGTACAGGCGGGGTCGCGGCTTAGGGGTCTGGCCCGCGAGTTCGCGGATACGGATACGTTGTTCGCCCACAACCGTTTGGGTGCGACAGCGACCCCTCCCTCCCGACCTCCGACGTCGCTGGGAAGCCCGAAATGGGGAGGGAAACAAGTGGGCACGATGCCCGACAAAAGCTGTTGTCCAAAACCAGCAGCGGCCGCTGTTGGGCAAGCGCCCTTCTGCCTGAAAGAGATCACGTCCGCGGCTACACCGACAACGAATCTAGAAGAAGAAAAATCCCATAAACATAAACTTTCTGGCGCTCCGCGCGGATTTCTTGGATCTGCACTGAACCCCCCTCCCTGGCGCGCGGAGCGCGCCAGGGGCGGCGCCGGAGGCGCCGCCAGGGGGGCCCAGCGCGGATCCGAGAAATCCGCGCGGAGCGCCACACATTTGTGGTTATAGGGGGCAAACAAACCTACCTCGCTTTTGAACACCCTCGCTTCCAAGAGATACCAAGCGATGCCAAAGTACGGCCTGTACTGGTCAGGCCGCTTGACGAGGAGGCGCGTGGTATGACTTGGTTTTGCCTGGAAGCGAAAACGGGGTAGACAATTCACGCTCTGAGTTTATGTGGTCCCCTTCTTCTTCGAAAAATCTAGGTCATAATAGGCAAGAACTGCTGCCGGCCTTCGTCACACCTCTTCCCGTCACCGTGTCGATCCTCCGTGCTCGTGACGTGTCACTGCGCCGGCCCTGCGGGCCTGCTGCAGCGGAAATTTCTGCGCGGATGTCTGCCCGACGCGGCGAGCGAAAAACGAAGAGAATTTCGCGTGGATTTTTTGTCGGTCTTCATTCCTGGCCCCAAAAAATCCGCACGGAACGCACCTCGAAATCAGATTTGCGACATTCTCCACGACGCTCCAAGCCCATCCGATCGTTTTCCGAACTAAATCCGCTCTGCGATGTTGGCGCCACGACGAATCTGGATCAGAATGGGCAGAAACTGCTGCCGGTCTTCGTCACCACTCTTTCCGTCACCGTTTCGATCCTCCAGGCTCGTGATGCGTTCGTAGCGTGTAGAAGTCAAAAGATCCATCCCCCATAATAACCACCCCGACACGCAGAGTCGTTTAGTAAACGCGCCCAAAGGAATCAGACAGGGCAGGGCTGTTTTGTAAACGCCCAGGGCCGTTTAGTAAACGCCAATTGCCCGGTCCGGGTGTTTTTGCCTCCCTTGAGCGTTTTTTTTTGTCCGTCCTGTTGGGCACGCCGCACGCCTGTAGGGCGGAATAACGGAGGGATAGGAGAGGTTGTCCCTTTCCTCTCCCCCGGTTGTCCCTTTTTCCTCCCTTGAGCGTGGTCCCCGCAGCTCTCGCCCCTCCGCCCAGGACCTGCCTGGACCTGCCTCTCGCCACGGGCCGTGACCTGCGGCCCCCCCCCCCCCCCCGCGAGGCCCGAACATGTCCCTGACGCCAGAGGCTGCCACGGCTGCCCGTGGTGACCCTCGCCGCGGCGCGCAGAGGCCTGAGCTCAGGAGCTATGATGGTGATGACGACGTCGACGACGACGACGACGACGAGGACGAGGACGAGGACGACGACGACGACGACGATGATTTTTTTTCCCTCGGCATCAGGACCAACAAAAAAAGAGCCTTCGGCATGAGTTCGGAGAATATGGTCCGCCGCAGAGAGCTGTTTTCTCTCCTGAGTGCCCACGCGGGGGCTGAGCGCAACGGGGTGCTGGCGCAGAGAGCCAGCGATGCCCGACGTGCTATGGGATAGGATCGTGAGGGGCGGAGGAAAGCCTGAGCTCGAGAGCGCTAGCACCGATAACCAAGTGCCTATTACAGCATGCCATAATCTGAATGAGTTCCGCGTCGCGCAAAAATGCAAGGGGCTCACATCCCTCGTTTGAGGCGGCTCTGTTGTCCTCCGTGGTCGTGGACCGAGTCAGCTGGCCGTGCGACGGGCCTGGAGCCCTCGAAATCGAGCGAGAGCAGTCCAGCATCCGAATGTGCTCTTTAGCCATGTCGTTCATCGCCATCAAGAGCGACTGATCCCAGAGAGTATGTGTGTTGGTGTCGTCGTACGCGTGCTCCACGGCCGAGCTGATGATCTCCTGGGTGGTGCGGGTTAGATCGTGCATGTCGGCGGCGAGGGCCTGGTCGAAGGCGTCGAGGACGACGTTGGGAATGATGTGGTGGCGAGTCCGCTCCTCGGCGTACGTCCAATCACCAGATTCCTCGTCCACCAGGCTAGAGTTGGGATCGTCGCCATGTCGATTATCCTGCGCCCCTTCATGTAGTTGAGTGTCGTCCTCTTCACCCTCGGTGTCCACATCTTCGTGATCAGCATCCCGATTATCAAACTCCTCGTCCACCAAACTTGAGTGAGGATCAGCACCACCTCCCGAGCCACCTTCTTCACGTAGTACTGACTGATGATGGTTGCCGTTGGTGTCGTCGTACGCGTGCTCCACGGCCGAGCAGATCTCCTCGGTGGCGGTGGTGCGGGTTAGATCGGTCGTGTCGGCGGCGAGGGCCTGGTCGAAGGCGTCGAAGACGACGTTGGGACGAATGTGGTGGTCGTCACCAGGTCGATGATCCTGCGCCCCTTCATGTAGTGGACTGGCGTCCTCTTCACCCTCGGTATCCGCATCTACGTGACGAGCATGCCGATTACCCGACTCCTCGTCCACCAAACGTGAGTGAGGATCAGCACCTTCGCCCGAACCACCTTCACGTAGTACTGACTGAGAATGGTTGCCGTCGTGGCCGTTGCTCGTGCTGTCCACGTGCGCCTCCACGATCCTGTCGGCGTACTCCTCGTTGGTAAAGTCCTCGGGCTTGCGCGTCCGCAGCGGCTGGTTGATGTTGAGCTCGCTCGGGATCTCCAGGCCGGGTGGGAGACCCAGTGCAGCGCCGTGACGGACGTGTCGAAGCCGTACGCGTTGCCGGTGCGCTTGGGCGCGCGAGCGCCTCTCCCCAGCCGGGGGGGCGCCACAGCACGTCGGGCGCGGCATCGATCTGGAGCAGAACCCAGCGCTTCAGCCCCGCGTGGACGCCGCCATGGCAGAGCCCTCCGCCTCCGCGTGTGGAGGGAAAGGCGTAGCTGGAGGCCGCTGTTCCTGCAAGGCCTGAGCGCGCGGCAGCCTTCGACGACGATGATGATGATGATGACGGTGATGATGGTGATGATGATGATGATGATGGTGATGATGATGATGGTGATGATGATGATGATGATGATGATGATGATGATGATGATGATGATGATGATGATGATGATGATCATGATGATGGTGATTGTGGTGATGATGGTGATGGTGATTCTTATCATTATTGTCACTATTATTATGAATATCAGTATAAGTAAATAATTAGTAATCTCGCCGTTCGTATGAGTATTGCTACTACTATTACCAATAAGATTCATAATGCTACGAATACTAGCAAAAAATATGATTCTGAATATGGCAAGTTTGTGCATTATTTCTACTATTGATAGAGCCAGAACCGGCGGCGCGACACGCTGAGCCAAAACTGCACATTCACCGTAAAAAAACGTCCCCCGACCTCTCCTGGGGGGTGCTCTGGCCCGGGTTTCGCGCGGCGAGTCTGGCCGTTGCGACGAGGGTCACCGAGAAAAGGAGGCCTCCCAGACGCTCTCAACATGTCGAACTGGCTCCCTCTTCCTCCCCCCCGCTGCTCCTCGCACCTCTACAGGAGGAGGGAAGGGGGAGGAGAAGAGTGGGACGAGGAGGATGAATGCGAGGAGGACAGGCAGCGGGGCCGAGGAGGGGACGGCCAGGAGGAGGGCAGAAGAGAACGAAGAGCAGAAACGGGCGACTCAGCTCGGGCCCTGGTCTGAGCAGCCCACCTCCCAAGTTGCAGGGGGGCCACAGCGCGTCTGTACGATTGTTGCTGCACGGAGGCGCGCTTTGTGACCAACTTTGGTACGCACTGGAGTGATCGATAACCTCTCCCCCTCCTCCTCCCTCTCCCCCTCCCCCTCCTCCTCCTCATCCTCCTCCTCTTTCCCCCTCCTCCTCCTCCTCCTCCTCCTCCTCTTCCTCCTGCCTCCCTCCCCAACCTCCTCAACGGACGCGTGCATTTGCAAATATCTGGTATGACTTCCACCTCGCTTCTGCCTCCCAAACGTATCCTCGGTGGCCTTCACGTGCTCCGTGTCGCTGTCGGCCTTGTACCACACCTCTGTGGCGTTCCAAGCCTGAAGTAGGGATACTCCCCGTCCAAATGCTCGTCGCTGGAGGCGAAGGAGGAGAGGGATGATGAGGCTGATGAGGAGGAGTCCCTGCATCTGCTACAGTTTCTTCACTGTCACTCAGCCTTCTTACCGTCGTGCTGCGATTGCTGGCCTTTCTCTGCAACCATGCTTGATTACCGTCCGTTGTGAGTGCGTCCCCCCCCTCTCTCTCTCTCTTTCCTTCCAAGTCACTACTCTTTGTCTGTCTGCCTGTCTGCCTCTGTCTGTTTTGCTGTCATCTCACTCTCTCTCTCTCTCTCTCTTTCCCTCTCTCTTTCTCTCTGGGGAGGAAGAATGAACTCACATTGTCGCCACTATTCTTCCACCATGACTTCGCTGAGCTGCGGCACTACCGCTACCCTGCTCCTGGCAGTCATGTGTGCACATGACAACACCGCACCTAACGACAACTAAATGTCACCTTGCAGTCCCGCAGCCTCAAACCTCGAGGTAGAACACCAAAACACCTACGATTCCCGTCTCCTGCTCCTGCTCCTGCTGCTCCTGCTGCTCCTCCTCCTCCTCCTCCTCCTCCTCCTCCTCCTCCTCCTCCTCCTCCTCCTCCTCCTCCTATCAGTACCCTTTTCCTCGGCCTCCGCCTCATCCTATTCCCGTCTCCTGCTCCTGCTGCTCCTCCTCCGCCTCCTTCTCCTCCTCCTCCGTCTCCTCCTCCTCCTCCTCCTCCTCCTCCTCCTCCTCCTCCTCCTCCTATCAGTACCCTTTTCCTCGGCCTCCGCCTCATCCTCCTCCTCTGCCCGCGCTAGCACTGCAAGCAGACTTGAGAGCAGCGCCTTGACGTGCAGCACGGCGGAGCCGAAGCACTCAAACACGAGCAGCGCCGCGTGGAGCATCTTGATCTCCGTGCGCGCGCGCCGAGAACGTCACTTCTCCGCCTCCCCGCCTCTCTAAAAAGGGGCCCCAGGACACACAAACAAATACACACAAATAACATGATTCCCCATATTTTCCCATATTTTCTGGGTCTCTGTTTTCCCCCCACTTCTTATATTTTCTCATATTTTCTTGGGAGTTGACGATTCATTGTGTCTGTGTGTTTCTTTCCCTCCTGGCTCTCTCTCCACACTCATCCGCCCTCCTCTCTCACCCATTCCGCTCTCTTATTTCCCCCTCCCCCCTCCCGTCTACATGATGGGCACCGCCCTCGTGTCTCCCCTGATTGCGTGCTGCAGTGTCGCCGCCTCTCTGGCGTCGGGTTTTCGCACGCGCCGGAGTTGATGCTTGGATGTATGCTCTTGCTCGTTCGGGACGCTCTCGATCCGCCAGGAAGGAATATTCATCAAGCTGCAGCGTTGGCCACATCCCATGGTCGGTGACTCGTCCTCCTCTTCCTCCCGCTCATCTGGCACTTCCCCCCTGCTCCAACATACAGAACACCAGTCTGTTTGCCTGCGCACCACACGATTGGTGGCTCACCGACGATGGCGAAGCACCTTCTGTTCTGTTTGCGCACCTCCCGTCGGAAGATGGAAAAGAATTCAGCGACGCAGGAAGCTGCGGGTTGTGAGTGGGGTATAGTGCAAGCGCATCTAGATCGTCCTCCCTCCCACTCTTTCTCTCCTCCCCTCCTCCTCCTCCTCCTGGCGAGGGAGAGACCTGCAGCTCAGGCAGCCGCAATATCCCCACGGTCTTGAGGACCAGGAGGACCTGGCGGCCAGCCCTGACTTGCTCCGACTCCCCTGGCATGCTGCTCCCTCCCATCGCTCAACTACCCCTCCCCTCCTCCCCATCCTCCCCTCCCCCCTCCCCCTTCCTTCTCCCTCCCCTCCCCCGCGTATGCAGCCCTGCACTGGCACGGGACCGCAATCGGGCCGCAGCGGCCGCGCCAGGGGACGGTGGCAGGTGGAGGTGGGCCCCGCATGGCGAGGCCGCGCCCCTGGCTGCGGCCACGGGGATGCGGGCCGATGGATGCTGCCAGGGAGCTCTCCATCGGAAGCGGCCAAAGAGGGGGGGGTGCAAGTCATGACCCGCGGCATGTGCGCGGCCAAGCGGGGGGGCCAGAGACGTAATGAAATAAGAAGAGGCGCCATGAAATCTGGGGAAATAGCATGGCCCACGCCATGATATCCACCCCCCCTAGTCATCACCCTCCTCTTTGCCGTCCCCGACTCCAGCTGCGATTGCGCCACTTGTCGGTTTGGCTGCAGGGCGTGTCCTGCGACGTCTAGATTTGAGCCCTGGCGGCTGCCGTGCGCAGCACGTTCACGCAGCACGCTCACGCACGCACTCATGCAGCACAGCGCTGCATGTGGTGCGGTCGGACCTAGGCCAGAAGAGCATCCTTCAAGACCACGGGGCCCCCCGCTAGCCAAAACGTGCAGAACAGCCAAGTGCACCCTTCCCAGGGTGCACAAGGAACATCCACCAAGCACGACGAGCACTGGGGTACCCTCCCCAAACCGACCTCGACCTCATACCTCGGGCCCACTGTATCCCAGGCCTCGCGGGCCGGGCCCCTGGGCAGCGGCCCTGGTGGATGCGGGGCGCTCTCGCAGGCCCCGCGCGGGACGTGCCCGTGCGGCCGCGCATCCGCGGGCTCGCGCCCCAGAATCCAGACCGCCAGGGCGCGGCTAGGGATGTGTTCTACCAGCCTGGAACATATCCCTATCCCTATGCTGGGCATCTCCTCATCGCGATGCCAATCTTAGGGATTCCCTTATTTTTTGAGGGCGAATCCCTAAGATTGTCATCGCCTTTTGGCGTGTCAATCTTAGGGATAGGGATAAGTTCGAGGCTGGTAAGTGTTCGCCGCTCGTGAGGGGAGGGCGCTGCAGGGCTGCAGGGCAGGGGGTGCGCGCCAGGGCCCCCGAGCTCACCAGCGCCGAGGCAGAAGTGTGGCCCGACCTCGACCGGCGATGCAGAGGCACCTCTGCCCTGGGGCGCGAGCAGCCTCGCGCCCACCAGCGCCGAGGCAGCAATGCGACCCTGCCTCGACCGGCGATCCAAAGGCGCCTGTCTGCCCCTCGACCCTGGGGTTCCCGAGCTCTCATGCCCGTCCTTGGAGCACGGGGGATGAGTGCCGTCTCGACTTCCGTCCCTCCCGAAGCGCACGGGAGCCTTGGCTCCCAAAGCTACGAATCCTCGGGGAGGCAAGGACCCGGCAACAGGACTACGCACCCTCACCGTCCTCCTCATCCTTCGCCTCCTGCTTACCCTTTCTGCGATGATCCTGGTCTACCTCATCTTACTCCTCCTCCTCCTCCTCCTCCTCCTCTTGCTCCTCCTCCTCCTCCTCCTCCTCCTCCTCCTCCTCCTCATCATCACGACCCTACGCGATGTAAGCGCGATCTTGAAATCCCAACTCCAGCAGTGCTCCTGCAATAACCTTGAGCAGGATCCTTGGGACACTGGCCTGGCACCAGGATGCCCCAAGAGGGGGGCCCTCGAGAGGCCTTCAGAAGGAACCCGACTTGCAAAACATCGGTAGCGCAGGCTTCTCCGCGGCCGCTCACCCCGCCCTTCCTCTGGGCTCGTCCCCCGATGCTCCCGGCGAGGGTCGCGCCGCTGCTGCTGCTTGCGCCCTCTCTGGAGGCCTCTCGAAGCCTCCGCAGGCGCGAACATGGCCGAACACGCTTACAGGGCAAACCAACAGCTTTTGTTGTTTTGATTATTTGTTTGTTTGTTTGTGTTGTGTTTTGTTTGTGTTGTGTGTGTGTTTGTATGTGTTGTGTGTGGTGTGTTGTGTGGTGTGTGTTGTGTGGTGTGTGTTGTGTGGTGTGTGTTGTGTGTTGTGTGTTGTGTGTTGTGTGGTGTGTGTTGTGTGTTGTGTGTTGTGTGGTGTGTCTGGTGTGTTGTGTGTTGTGTGGTGTGTCGGGTGTGTTGTGTGTGTTGTGTGTTGTGTGTTGTGTGTTGTGTGTGTGTGTTGTGTGTTGTGTGTTGTGTGTTGTGTGGGTGTGGGTGTGGGTGTGGGTGTGGGTGTGGGTGTGTCTTTGTGTGGGTGTGGGTGTGCGTGTGGGTGTGGGTGTGGGTGTGTGTGTGTGTTTGTTTGTTTGTTTGTTTTGTTGTGTGTTTTGTGTGTTTTGTGTGTTGTGTGTTGTGTGTTGTGTGTTGTGTGTTGTGTGTTGTGTGGTGTGTGTGTGTGTGTGTGTGTGTGTGTGTGTGTGTGTGTGCGTGTTTTGGGGGGTCCACAATCCTCGGCATTCCCTTCCCCAACGGGCCGCGTCTCGCTCCGTCTGGTCGTGTGGAAACTTCTGGCCAGGACGTCCCCCCCCCCTGGCAGCTAAGAAGCACAGCCTCCCAAAGAGAACCAGACTCGCTCCCCAGACGAAGCTTGAGCACAAGATGCTCTGCGCTCCAGGGCCATCAACGTAGCGTGCACAATTCCTAGGCGGTGCGAGCCTTGAGCTGCCAGAACGCAAAGAAGACCAAGAGCTTCACGCTCAAGAACTTCAATAATGGTGAATAGCCTCGCGGGGGGTCACGTGAGCATGTGCACATCTGACGGCACTGTGCATCGGGCGAATCAAACGACATGTGCCAATAAACATACACACATACACACATATATATATATATGTATATAGATACACATACAAGACTGCATTGCCGCTTCGCGCCATGCACCTTGGTCCTTGATGCTTTGCGTCTGTTGGCCGTTCGCGCCATCCCTAGTGGCCTTGGAATTGTGGCCCCTTCCGGAGGAGGACGAGGAGGAGGGTGCCGTCGGGGGACGGCGAAGAATGTTGCAGCGGGTTGCAGCGGGTCGAACGGGGCACGCGAACGCAAAAATTCTTAGGAGCGCAGCAGATTTCCGGGATTTGCGGTTGCGAACCCAGGATTCGGGTCAGCTTGGTGGAAAACGCCGTGTGGGCCTTGTTGGAGCCCTGGTGGGCCGGCCGGCTTGGGGCCGTCTCGAGCCGTCTTGGGGCCATCTTTGGCCGTGTTGGGGAGGTTGAGGAGCTTGGGCCCTCTAGGGACCTTACGGGGGCTACGTCGGCCCTCCTGTTGGCCTCGCATGGCCATTTGGGGAGCCTCCCATGGCCTTCTTGGGCTTCTGTTGGGGGCCTTGTGAAGGCATTTGTGGTTTCCTTGGGCAGCCTTTGGGCCGTCCAGGCCGTCTAGAGGCTCTCCTTGGGGCTCTTGGGCCGTATTGGGGCGATACTGGAGGCCTTCCTGGCTGTTTTGGACGCTGCCAAGACCCGAACAGCGAATGTCTGAAAAGGTACGTTTCCCGACGGGAGTGAAGCGATGTTTGCGTTTTGGGAGCCCTGTTGAGGGCCTCCTGGGCCGTCTTGGGGGCCTCTGGAGGCCCTCTGGGTCCTTCTTGGAGCGCTCTTGTGCTGTCTTGGGTCTCTCTTCGGCCTCTCTGATCACCGCTCTGATCGCTTCTGGGCCTTGTGAGGGCCTGTTGGGCCTCTTTCTGGCTCATTTGTGGAATCCTTGGGCAGTCTTGGGGTCCGGCTAGAGGCTCTCTTGGGGGTCTCTTGGACCGTCTAAGGGCAAAACCCGAGGACTTCGTGGCTGTTTTGGACGCTGCCAAGACCCGAACAGCGAATGTGCTGAAAATGCACGTTTCCCTAAAGGAGTGGCACGATTTGGGGGTTCTGGGAGCCCTGTTGAGGGCCTCCTGGGCCGTCTTGGGGACCTCTGGAGGCCCTTTGGGTCCTTCTTGGAGAGCACTTGTGCTATCTTGGGTCTCTCTTCGGCCTCTCTGATCACCGCTCTGATCGCTTGGGGCCTGCTGGCAGGACCCAAGCGCCCTGGTAGGTCTGGGAAGAGCGGGGGGACCTTTGGCAAGGATGTCGGGGGAGCCCAGAAATCCCCGATCTTGGGGGTCCAGTTTCGGGGGGGGGGTCCCACCCCCCCGGCTTGTAAATGCATATGAGTAGGAATATTTAGGACGCAGAAAGAACGCACGTGAAAGCTCCGTAGAGCAATGCCGACAAGAAGAGCAGTATACTATATACCCTCACGTCGGGCATGTCCCCCTACAGGCGGATGTTGGAGGAACATATTTTAAGTCAAACAACGCCCCAAAATTGTCAAAGCATACTTCAAACATCGTCCCCAGACTACTTTTTGACTATTTTTGAATATTCCTCCTGTAGAGGGACAGGCCCGACTTAACTATACCCTTACAAGGCACACGATAAATGGAAGGTGAGATTGAGAGTGTTACCCCGCCGCGCCTTCGATGAGGTGCCCGAAGGTGCTCTCGATGGTGTGGACGTTGTAGACGGCGGCGCCAGAAGCAATCAATCCTCCCGCTGTCTCTCCTTTGCCGTATAGGCGGCGAGCGAGGGGTGAAGTGGGAAGGGGCCGGCCTTCTCAGAAGGCTCGGAAGTCCTCAAGCCTTCTGAGAAATTTCCCAAGCCTTCCCCGAAGACAAATAACACTTCTCAGACGGCGCTAGGGCTTCCGAGAAGTCCCGCCAACTTATGAGAAGGCCTTCTCCTCCTTACTTCCTCCCGCGGTCTCTTCTTTGCAGTACTTACCCGAACTGGGGTTTCTGCTCTGCTGGGCTTTTCTCTAGTCCGTCCCTTCCGCGCCATCTCATCCCCCCCAACGCCGCCCCTCCGTGGTAGACGGCATCGCATCATGGCCCGCATCGTCTCGTCGCGGCGTCTGGCCTCGTCCGATTCCCTCTGCGCCCATACGCAATCCGAAAACATCCATGCCCATCACCTCAGGGGGAACGAGAAGGGGGGGAGCATCGACCCGGAATCGGCGATACATCGCTCGGGGATGGACAGATAACAGGGGATGCGTCGACCCCTATCCCAGGCTCCGTGAGGTTTTCGAGAGGATCAACAATTTGGGGCCCAACCCTGGGATATACGAGGGGGGGACGTCCATTCTCGACAGGGATGCGTCCGAATAGCCCCCTCGGGATGTATCCCAAGATTCCTCCCCTTTTCTGAGCGACCAAACTTTTCTGGCGGAAGTCGGGGATTGGGGGAGAGAAATCGCCTGCGAACAGACCCCCCTTTAGTAAAACGTGGTTTAGTGAAAACGACCTGAGGCCCAAACCTGGCGGGCGCAAGCCTGGAAAATGAAGGCCACGGCGCCCCCTCGAGAAACGAAACCGGACCATTCACGAATCGACGTGTCGCTGTTGGGGGTTCTGTCCACCCCTTTGGGCGCCCGAAATGGGTACGGAAAAAATGGGCACAATGCCGAACAACTAATGTTGTCCCAAACCAACAGAGGCCGCTGTTGGGCAGGCGGCCTTCTGTCTCAGATGGACACAGGCCGCGGCGGTGCGGACAGCGAGCCCTGTTCAAAATGAACAGGAACTGCTGTTGGGCGTCGTACCCACTCTTTCCGTGCCCATCTCGTTCGTGCAGAAGCCCCGAGTCGCCGCTAGCTCGACGAGTGAGGCCCCCGACGCCGCATCCGCACGTTCCTGGAAGGGGGAGAGCTGTGAGGCCCCCAAGCGCTGCGTGGCCGCGCGGGGGGTCGGGCATGCCCCCTCTCGCCATCGCTCGGACGTCCATTCCCTGTTTTTTTTCGGTATCGTGCGTGGTTTTTTCGCCAAATGATCAAGGATGCTCCTCGATGGTCCCCACCGAGGAAAAAATACATGGGTAGCGGCGATGTTTTGGACGAACAATCAAACATACACCCCAACGATACGCAAAAGTGGTCCAACAGAGTCAAAACATCGTCCCCCGACGATGTTTTAGCTATTTGTCGATGTTCCTCCTGTAGATGGACAGGCCCTGCGCCGATCCCTCCCTAACGCTGGGTCGGGCATGTCCCCTCAGGGGCGTTTTTTTTTTTCGGGGATGGACAGAGCCCCCTTTAGCAAAACGTGGCTTAGTGAACACGACCCGAGGCCCAAACCTGGCGGGCGCGAGCCTGGAAAATGACGGCAGCGGCGCCCTCTCGAGAACCGAAAAAGGACAATTCACTAATCGACGTGTCACTGTTGGGGGTTCTGTCCACCCCTGGTTTTTGAACGAACAATTAAACATACACCCCAACGCTACGCAACAAACAAATTGACAAACATAGTCAAAACATCGTTCCCGGACTATGTTTTAGCTGTTTTTCGATGTTCCTCCTGCAGATGGACAGGCCCGACTTCACCCTGACGTTGGCTCGGGCATGTCCCCTTCGAGGCGTTTTTGTTCGGGGATGGACAGACCCAACGTGGTTTAGTGAACACGTCCCGAGGCCCAAACCTGGCGGGCGCAAGCCTGGAAAATAACGGCAGCGGCGCCCTCTCGAGAACCGAAAAAGGACAATTCACTAATCGACGTGTCACTGTTGGGGGTTCTGTCCACCCCGGTTTTTGGACGAACAATTAGACATATACCCCAACGGTACGCAAAACTGGTCGAACAGAGTCAAACTGGTCGACCAGAGTCAAAACTGGTCCCCTGACTATTTCCCTACCTAGGCTCTGCCTAGAGGGTTCTTACTTTGTTTGCGTAAAGGGGTAAAACGCCCCGGGCGGTTCCCCCAGTCCCCGCCCCGCGGTTCCCCCAGTTGCGCCGCCTGGGTTCACCCAGCTTAGCTTAGCTTAGCTTAGCCTAGCCTAGCTTAGCTTAGCTGAGCTTATCTCATGTTGCTTAGCTTAGCTTAGCTTAGAGTTGCCTAGCCTAGCCTAGCTTAGCTTAGCTTAGCTTAGCTTAGCTTAGCTTATCTCATCGTAGATTAGCTTAGCTTAGTTTAGCTTAGCTTGGCTTAGCTTGGCTTGGCTTAGCTTCGCCTAGCTGAGCTGAGCTTAGCATCGCTGGACTTACCTTAGCTTAGCTTAGCGCAGCAGAGCGCAGCGCAGCATTAGCACCTCATAGCATAGCATAGCCAAGCATAGCATGGCATATCATAGCCTATCATATCATAACATATCATAGCATAGCGCAGCATAGCATATAATAGCATAGCATAGCATAGCCACGCATTGCTTAGCGTAGCACCGCGCAGCATAGCATAGCAAAACATAGCATAGCATTTGCATATCATAGCATAGCGCAGCATAGCATAGCATAGCCTAGCCTAGCCTAGCATAGCGCAGCATAGCATATGGTAGCATAGCCTAGCATAGCATAGCATAGCGCAGCATAGCATAACATAGCATATCATAGCGCATCATAGCATACCATATAATATTACAACACAGCGCAGCCGAGCGTAGGTGTAGATGTAGATGTAGATGTGAGTCTCGCTGTTGATGTTGATGTAGATGTAGATGCAGGTGTATATGTACATGTAGCTGTCGGTGTATATGTAGATGTTGCTTTCCTAAATGCTCCAACTCCTAGGTAGGGTCGCACTGGGATAATTCTTGGCTATTTTTCGATGCTCCTCCTGTAGATGGAAGGCCCGACTTAACCCTGACATTGCCCCCGATCCGAGCGGCTTTCGGGCCGTTAACTCCGGCATCCGGCAGCCGTTCGGAACACTTCTGGCACCGCAGGAACGCTCTCGACTGAGGGGCAACGATCGGGGGGGACTGGCACAGGGGGGATACATCGACCTGGAATCGGCGATACATCGCCGATGGATCGGCGATAGGCCTCCGATCGTGAACCCGCACCTTCCTGGACAGGTTGGGGCTACAGTGAGCGGCTTGAGTAAGGAACACTTACTTTTCAAAAGGGGCTCGGTCGTTCCTTAGGTTTGCATGCGTTACTTACAGTTCCTTATGCGTTAGTTATTGTTTATCGTTCCTTATGCGTTCTTTCTTGAGATAAAATGGGCTTCGTTCCTTATTTATCGTTCCTTAGGTCAGGCTGATGACTGTATCGGGCCCGTATCGACAATCAATGGGCGACTGGGGGTCGATGCATCCCCCCCAACGCCTGTCCCCCCCTATCGTTGCCCCTGATCGACGAGGCGCAGCCGATGGAGACCACCCTGGGCCTCGCAGGTTGCAAACCATTGACGCGACCTGCCGAGAACTTTCCGAGCGCTTCCTCCTCGGGCTCCTGGTCCTCATCCTCCTCACTCCTTCCCCTCCAGAGGATCAAAGAATGGCATGAGCATAGACTCTCGAAGCTCTTGGCCCAGGTGCAAGCGAGGGGCTGCTGGGGGTCCGAGCATGCGCTGGGGGCGCTGTGGGAGCGAGAGGCCGCGGCACAGGCCTCCGGCGGGCGCCGCGCTCCCTGCGCGCCCTGCGCCACTCATTACTGCTGGGCCCCCCTGGACATGACATGGCATGGCTATTCACAATACGCTTTGCAGACGGCAGCGTAATACGGCGTTGCATGTGATATAATTGGACCTAGGTTAGAAAAACATCCCTTAAGAACACGAGACCCTTTGCTGGCCCAAACGCACAGAACATTTAACGGTACCCTCCCCAGGTGCACAATAACATCCAACAAGCACGAAGACCACTAGGGCACCCTCCCCGAACCGACCTCGATCTTATACCTCGCATCGCGTTGCTAGCACAGCGCCGCCATATTGCAATATCGCGCATCAAGGCATCATAACGGGACGCGAAACAATCGAGGCCCCGATAACCAGTGAACTTGGGGCAAAGAACTGGACGCGAAGGCCCGAACGCCCGCGAGCAGCGGCCTGAGGGCCAACCACTGGGAATTGGTTACGCTTCGCGAGTCCCCACCAGCCCATCCAAAAGCAGCCGCTCGAAAAAGGTGCGCTGACCGAAGGGTGTGTTCTCTTCCTTCTCCCTCTCTTTGGCTTCTTTCTTCCATCCTCCTCTCCTTCTCCTCGTCCTCGTTGCTCCTTCTCTTCGTTCTCCTCCTCCTGGCGTTGCCGTGCGATCTTGGGGCTCTCTTGGGATCTCAGGGAATCGTGGCCCTGGGGCTCTCTTGGGGCTCCTTTGGGAGTCTTGAAACCCTCTCGGGGCTCTTTGTGGGAGTTTGGGAGGTCTCTTGGGGCCATCTTGGAGGCCATCGGGCGAAGAAGGAGAGAGCATTTATTGGTGTGCCCCCGTCGGGGCCCGAAATATCGCCTCTTGGAGCCCTCTTGGGCCGCTCTTGGGCGCCTGTTGGGCGCTCTTGGGGCCGTCTTGGGGCCCTCTTGGGCCGTATTGGCCGCCTCTTGGGCCGTTTTCAGGCCCTCCCAGGGGTAGGGGGTAGGGGGAAAGGTACACCCCTCCCCGAAGGGGAAGAAGGGGGTTGAGAACAGAGAGGACTATCTAAACCACTCACGCCCTAAAGGGCTGGTGGGATTCAGTTTACGCACGTGGGCCCTTCGGGGAGGGGTTTTCCCCTCCCCCTACCTCTCCCCCTGGGCCTGGAGAGGGGGGGCCGCGGGTCGCCGGGGCGTCCTTTGTCGGTCCCTGGGAGGTTCATTTTTTGACACCCCTCACATGGATCGTGGCCCCAGGGGGGGGGAGGGGGGGGGGGCAAATAAGTGCTTTCGTCTTTTTTGACCGATCTCCTCCAAGATGGCCCCAAGAGCGCTCCCAAGACCCCCAAGAGCGCTCCCAAGACGGCTCCAAGACGGCCCAAGAGGGCCCCAAGACGGCCCAAGAGGGCCCCAAGACGGCCCAAGCGGCCAAGCGGCGGCCAGTACGGCTCAAGAGGACCCCAAGACGGCCCCAAGAGCGCCCAAGAGGCGCCCAAGAGCGGCCCAAGAGAGCCCCAAGCGGCTCCAAGACCGCCACAACACCGGCTCCAAGTGGCCGCGGATCCTCCCGAGGACGCCGCCGAGAAGCTAAGACGGCCCAAGAGGTCCCCAAGACGCTCCGAGAGAGCCCCGAGAGGCGCCCTAAGATGGCCCCAAGAAGCCAAAACCATTGATTTTCTGTGGGCGTTTCAAACATTTTAGCGTTCCCGCCCTTTCGGCTTCCCGACGCTCCAAGACAGCCCAAAAGGCATGCAAGACCGCCCCAAGACGGCCCAAGCGGCGGCCAATACGGCCCAATAGGGCCCCAAGACGGCCCCAAGAGCGCCCAAGAGGCGCCCACGAGCGGCCCAAGAGAGCCCCAAGACCGCTCCAAGACGGCTCCAAGTGGCCGCGGAACCTCCCAAGGACGCCCCCGAGAGACCAAGACGGCCCAAGAGGCCCCCAAAACGCTCCAAGAGAGCCCCGAGAAGAGCCCTAAGAGGGCCCCACGAGGCCAAAATCATTTGTTTTCCTAAAAACTTTTAAACATTTTAGCGTTCCCGCCCTTTCGGCTTCCCGACGCTCCAAGACAGCCCAAAAGGCCCGCAAGACCGCCCCAAGGCGGCCCAAGAGGCTCCCAAGACGGCTCCAAGACGGCCCAAGAGGGCCCCAAGACGGCCCAAGAGGCGGCCAATACGGCCCAAGAGGGCCCCAAGACGGCCCCAAGAGCGCCCAACAGGCGCCCAAGAGCGGCCCAAGAGGGCTCCAAGAGGCGATATTTCGGGCCCCGACGGGGGTACACCAATAAATGCTCTCTCCTTCTTCGCCCGATGGCCTCCAAGATGGCCCCAAGAGACCTCCCAAACTCCCACAAAGAGCCCCGAGAGGGTTTCAAGACTCCCAAAGGAGCCCCAAGAGAGCCCCAAGAGAGCCCCAGGGCCACGATTCCCTGAGATCCCAAGAGAGCCTCAAGATCGCACGGCAACGCCAGGAGGAGGAGGACGAAGAGAAGGAGCAACGAGGACGAGGAGAAGGAGAGGAGGATGGAAGAAAGAAGCCAAAGAGAGGGCGAAGGAAGAGAAATCACCCTACGGTCAGCACACCTTTTTCGAGCGGCTGCTTGTGGAAAGGCTGGTGTGGACTCGCGAAGCGTAAACAATTTGAACAACCTCGGTGGTGCTTGAGGTCTTGGCCCGGTAAAGGTATTTCTCACGGCTCTGTCTCCCTCGGATGCGAGTCCTGCCCGGATCTTTCCCGACCCCCCGCACGATGCTGCATGGGACGCTCCCGCAGATGCAGCGGCATCTCAGGTCCAGGAGATGATCTCCAGCACCCACGGGCGGCGGGGGGGGGCGGCGGCGACTCGCCGAAGGCGGCTTCGATGGCCCCTCTCCTCCCGTGTTCCTGACGGGGGGGATGCGAGTCAACAGTGCGGACCTCTGAGAAGGGCCACTTGGGGCATCTGCGGCCGTCCTCCCCTCTTGCCCTCCTCCTCCTCCTCCTCCTCCTCCTCTTCCTCCTCCTCCTCCTCCTCCTCCCTCCAGCCGTCGAGGTCTAGCTGGCTCTCCTAGACGCTGCACTCGAGCTTGCGTGCGCAGGACGCCCGAGAGGACGCAGCCCTCTTCGGATGGCAATCCGGGCTCCGGGCACGAAGCGGGTATGAAGCGCGACACACATGCCTGAAATTCAATTGCCCTTGACATTGCAGGGTCGACCTACTGCTACCCTCGTCAAAATTAATCTCAAAACTGGCGACCACGCCCCTGCGATGTCGGTGCGCCCTTCAATGTCGATAGACGCCCCTCCAATGTCGGGGCCAAGGCAAAAATGGTCTGACTGGGAACGACTCGGAAAATCGATGATGACCGACATTGAAGGGGCGGCGCATACAAGTACCTCGCAGTCATTGCTACTCTGCCTAGTATCTCCCCACAGACAATTCAGCCACGTAAAACATGTTTGAGGTTAATGTTGACGAAGGTTGTAGTCAGACCCGACCGTGTTGGCAGGTGCTCACGTTGTCTCCAACAGCTCTCCACAAGACAATTCGTGCCTCGCGCCGAGACCCCGTTTCGTTCCCGAGACGGCCTCTGGCGGCTTCCAGGCGGATCAACGCAGCTAAAGATCCAGCCACCACGGTTTCCAAGACATCAGTTCGGAGCTCGAGCAAATCTGTCTGCCTCTCATGCCTCGCTTCTTGCGTATGCGCGTGTATGGGGAAGCGAGAGTAGTTGAATTCAGTTCTCGAGCCCGTCAAGACCGTTTGCACTTGCTTGGAAAAAGCTGTGGCTCGGGCTGGGGCCACAAAGGCATTGCTCCGCACCTGTCGTCATTTCGCCTGGTGAGGGTATCATGCTGCTGCACGCTCGACCTGCTGTGATGGAGCCAGAGTGGGAGGAAGAAGAGAAGGCCAGACCACACTGGTGACCCACAACGAGGCCCAGCAGAGGTCCCCAACAAGCTTCACAAGAGCCCCAAACATGCAACAACAATGAAACACCTTACCACTCTCCTTCTCTTCTCTCTTCTCATTGTCCCTCTCTCGTACCTCATTCTCCTCCCCCATCGTCTTCCGCCACCTCCTCCGTCGTCACCTCATCTTTCTCCTCCTGCTAACACGTCCCCCCTTTTTCTCTTCCTTCTCCTCTTCCTCTTCCCTCCACCCGCCTCCCCTCCTGCTGATCTCAGGGCCCCGGGGAGGCCCCTGGCATGTATGTTACTGTCGTGCATGTGCGTGTTGATGCTGCAGCATTTTGGCTTGCCACAGGTGTGGAAAAGAGGGAGCGGGCGCTCCCTCCTCGGAGCCCAATCTGCATTGGTAGAGCGGAGCGTGCCGCGCGATAGCAGGTGCTGTCGCACCGGGGGGCACTCAGGCGAGTGCCAGCGGGACGCTAGAAGAAGGTGATGAACACGGACAACGGGGGTCCCGGCGGCGCGATCAGGAGGTTCGCCGGGAGTGGAGCTGATGCCTTTCGGGAATATCGATCCTGGAAGAAGTGGGCGCGGGCGTACCTCATCGTGCAGAAGGCGAAGGGGACGCCTGCAACGGCCTTAGGGCCAACGCTGTTCACGCTGCTGGACGACGTCGCCGCCAGGGCGCTGGAGGTGGTCGACATGGACGACCTAGAACAAGACGGCGGCGAGCAGCTCATTTTCGAGACTCTTGACTCACGCTTCCCCGACGTGGCAGCCCACGATCGTCTCGGAGAAGCGCTGAAAGAGGTATTCACGATTCGCCTGGCCAAGGGCGAGTCGATGGCGGCCTACTGCGGTCGAGCTCAGGCGGCGTTCGCCAAGGGCGAGACCGAGGGCGTGGTGCTGCCGGACATGGCGCGTGGGTACCTCCTGCTGCTGGGCGTGCACCTGGCGCCGCAGAACCTCGCGGTCGTCCTGGCAGCATCGAGCCGATCATACAAGGAAAAGGACGTGGCGATGGCGCTCAGGACGACGTACCCCAACGGCTTGGCGGACTTTGGCCAGCAGTCGAGGGCGTTCGGGGCGCACGTGGCAAAAGAAGAAGTCGACGAGAGCGACGACGTCTCGGATATCACGGCGCTGCTGGCGGGCTTCGACGTGATCGAGGAGACCGAGGACGGGGACATCCTGGACGAGAGTGAGGCCATCGAGATACTTGTGTCCTGGCGCGACCAGCGCAACAAGATCACGAAGGAGCAGCTGGCTCGGGGCTTCGGTCCGAAGAAGCCGGACACCAAGGCGATGGCGAAGCGAGTG